ACCTACAGGAACGTACTAGGAACTAACGTACTTATGGAATCAGTACTGCATTCTTGGGGTAACTAACCATAAGGTTTTACCATTAAATTAACTACGTCACGAATTTTTTATGGTGTATATTTGTAAAAAAATGGTTACAATTTTTTTACAATAAAAGTAAGTACTAATGGAACTAAATGTATCGTCAAATTGTTACCCGATAAGATTGTTTCTCAACTAGTTAAAAATCAAAAAAACCTGGACGATTTGACATTATGATCCTGACATTAATTACTTGCTATGGGCTATGTATGAGTCACGAGTGTATGTTTACATCAAACAATATAGTAAAATAGTAAGTATAATGCAGCAATTTAACCAAAAAAGGATAACAGAATTACTTACATTTTGTGAAAAAGTGGAAATATGTTCTTTACTTTTACTATTTACGGTGACGTGATCACTTTAAACACCACACAAGGCATCACACAATGGAGGTACATTATAGGGCATGTTACGTCCTCACATGAACTCGAATTACAATTGATGCATTATCGCTACAACAGATGGCGCCGCGCGCGTACGTACGTCTCAAGGTGCCCTTGAGGGATTCGAGTTCCTTCTCCCTCTCCTGCAGAAGGCTTCCTTTCTGCTTCACATCCTCATCCTTCTCGTTAATCTGCTTCCTCAGCTCATCCAGGTCGTGCTGCGTCTGAGCAAGGTGCGCCTGTAAACAACAACCAACAAAGTAAACATCAATGTAAACAACACAGTTCATGCTGCGTCTAGGCATGGTGCACCTGTAAACAACAACAACTACAACAACAACAACAACAACAACAACAACTAAGTAAACACAACGTTAACAATCAAGTTTGTGCTGCATCTGCCTCAGGTCTACCTGTAAAATATATAAATATATATATATATATAACATATGTATAACATATGTAACCTTATACACTTTCAAAATGGAATTTTTTATCACCATTTGGGATGTAAGTGGGTATATAAATATATATGGAATATATATCTATATCCATACCTGTAACTATATGTGTGTGTGTGTGTGTGCATGTGCGTGTGTGTGTGAGTACGTGCGTGCGCGTGTGTATATATATGTAACGTAGGCAGCACTTACATAGTACATGTCACGTTCCTTCGTTGTGTCCACCACCGCACTCTCCAACTCACAGATCTTGGCCATTGATTCATTCTCCAGCTCCTGGAATCTCTCTATCGCCTACAACAGCAGCAGCACAAACATATGGTTACAGGACACGACACTTAAGATTCGATAGTAAGTCAATTTCTTGGATTGAACACACGATTAATATGAATTCATACGACACTTAAGGGTTAGTTGATAGTTAGGGGCTATATAGATGATCCGGATAGCTCACTACACAATGCGTATCACGATATAGCTTTCTCAATACAATACGTATCACGATACAGCCTTCACGATACGATACGTATCGCAATACAGCCTTCACGATACGATATGTATCGCGATACAGCCTTCACGATACAATACGTATCACGATACAGCCTTCACGATACGATATGTATCACGATACAGCCTTCACGATACAATNAATCCTCCCTGCCCTCCCCCTCCCTCTTCTCCTTTTCCCCCCCTCATCCTCCTCCTCCCCTCCTCCCTTCCCTCCCTCTCACGTACATGTGACAATTAGTTCTCTAGCTCTGCTACTTGTTACAGAGCAAAATTCTTTTCTCAGCCTCCTCCCCCTCCCTCCTCCGCCCCTCATTCCCCTCCTCCACCCATCTGCCTCCTTCTCCCTTCTTCCTCCCTCCCTCTCCCTCCCCTCCCCTCTCACGTACGTGTGACAGTTCGTTCTCTAGCTCTGCGACTTGTTCCACAGCCACGTTCTTGGTCTCCGCCTCCTCTCCCTCCTCCTCCCCTCCTTCTTATCCCCTCGTCCCCTCCCTCCCCCCTCACGTACGTGTGACAGTTCGTTCTCTAGCTCTGCGACTTGTTCCACAGCCACGTTCTTGGTCTCCGCCTCCTCCATGAGGTGCTGAACATCGAACATGTTGTCACGGTAGGCGGAGATCTGAACCAGCAGCTGCTCCGACTCGGTGTGCTTCAGCTTCTGTTGACGAAGACGCGGCAACATTATGCAACATTTCGCAAAATTTTGCGGCAACATCAGCCAACATTTTTGCGCAACATTAGTAAAACGTTTGTGCAATCGCGTGCTTCATGTTCTGTTGACGAAGACGCGGCAACATTAGTAATCATTTCGTGCATCATTACTCAACAGTTTGCAACATTTGTCAACATACACTACAATTGCACGCTTCAGCTTGTTGGCGTGCGTGCAACAATACGGCAACATTGGTCAACCTTTTTCACATTTAACATCAACATTCGGATTCCCCATCTCTGTATCTCTCACTCTCTCACTTCCCCTTTCTTTCTTACCCTCCCCCTCTCCCTCTCTCATCCTCTCTCACCTCTAGATAGTCGTCGAGGCCTATCTTTGTGAACTCGTACTGGAGGTGAACGCGGAAGTTCATGTCATCCACCGAGTGAACAACGATGTTGATGAACTGCATGCAGGCAACCTGAAAGTACATATAACACAGTCAGTAATATACATACATGTAACACAGTTAGTATTACACATGAAAGTACATGTAACACTGTCAGTAACATACATACATATAACACAGTTAGTATTACACATGAAAGTACATATAACACAGTCAGTAATATACATACATGTAACAGTTAGTATTACACATGAAAGTACATATAACACAGTCAGTAATATACATACATGTAACACAGTTAGTATTACACATGAAAGTACATATAACACAGTCAGTAATGTTACTGACAGTGTTATATGTTCTTTCATGTGTAATATTAACTGTGTTACATGTATGTATTAACACAGTCAGTAATATACATACATGTAACACAGTTAGATGTACTTTCATGTGTAATAGGTAACACAGTTAGTAATACACATGAATAATATACATAGTCAGTAATATATGTACATGTAACATAGTCAGTAATATATGTACATAAAAAAGTACATGTAACACTGCAGTCAGTATTACATATAAAAATACATGTAACACAGTCAGTAATACACACGAAAGTAGAAAGTACATGTAACACAGTTAGTAATACACATACAAATAACATAGTCATTAACAAACATATATATATGTAATACAGTCAGTCTTTTTAAATACCCGCGGACTTACCATGAAATCAATGTTGAATTCTTCGTAGTTCATGAAATCGTTCATTAAGGTCTCGAATCGGCTCTGTTCCTCACACAGCTGTTAGCGGGAGAGATGGAGAACACGGTATAAATATTTATATAGTATAATATAATATAATATTAATATGACAACACACATGCAAGCACAAGCACACACACACACGAATGTGCGTGCATGCACACACACGCACGCACACACACACACACACACACACGCACACACACACACACACACACATATACACACACATACACATGCATGCACACACACACACACATATACACACACACACACCACCGCACGCAGCACGCACACACGCACGAGGAGAGTAGGTCAACGCACAGCACGGCACGCACGCCCGCACAGCACGCAGAGCGACGCACGGTCACGCACACACACAACCACACACACACACACGAGCGCCCAAGCACAATATACACAGCACATACACACGCATTGCCACAACCACACACCACCACGCACGCGACACACCACACACAACGCACGCATGCACGCACACACGCAAGCATGCACACAGGCACGCACGCATGCAATTACGCACGCAATTACGCATGCACCACACACACAACACACACAAACACACACTCTCTCTCCACCAGTTTGAAATGGTCAAATGCTTCTAGGATCATGTCGTGACCGTCCGCTTGGACGAGACAGACGGCGGCTAGAAGCTCCAGCACCAGCGCCTTGGTCCTGCCGGGGAAAAATACACGATCACACTGTAACTAAATGCACAACAACTACTGCGTACTGCTGCTGGCTAACTACTCGCTGCTGCTACTGCTGCTGCTAACGGCTGCTTGCTTACTACTTGCTTGCTGCTGCTGCTGCTGCTGCTGGCTGGGCTTACTGCTGGCTACTGGCTGCTGCTACGGCTGCTGCTACTACTCCGCTGCTGCGCTGCTGCTGGGCTGCTGTGCTGCGGGCTGCTGCTGCTGGCTGCTGCTACTACTGCTGCTGCTGCTACTGCTGCTGCTGCTGTATACTGCTACTTACTAGACTACTGCTGCTACTCGCTGCTGCTGCTGGGCTGCTACTACTATACCACTGTCGCTACTGCTGCTGCTGGCTACTACTACTACTACTAGCTGCGCTGCTACTGCGCTGCTCTACTAATACTAACTGCTGCTACTTGCTGCTGCTGCGAATACTACTACTACTACTTGGCTGCTGCTGCGCTGCTGCTGCTGCTGCCGCTGCTGCGGCTGCTGTTGCCTGCCTGCGGCTGCTTACTGCTGCTACTTGCTGCTACTACTGGCTGGCTGCTGCTGGCTGCTGCCTGGCTGTGCTGCTGTTGCTAACTCCTTACTGGCTAGCTCACCTGAGGCTGTTATGGTTGAGACTGAGCGTGATACAGTTGATCGCCTCTGCGTGAGCGAACACCATGTTGAATCCGAGCTTGTTGTTCATGATCGCGCGCAGACACATCACGGCGACGTGGATGTCGTCCTCTGTGCTTCCCGAGGTTCAGCTGGCTCCTTACGCTTCAGATCCTGGCAGAGAGAGAAGCCCATTGCACGACGCGAAAAGTCGGTAGGGACGCGCAACTGTCGACAACTACTAAGAATGTGTAACCGTGGTAACAAAGAAATAGAGCATCACACGATGAGAGTAGGGATGCGTAAACCGTGGTAACCGATGTATGAAGATGGTGGGTACGTACGACACTGGCAGCTGTAAGATCCCAAAACAACGATTAGGGAGGTGTAATCATGGTAATAATATGAAATAGAAGCCGTCGCACGATGGTAGGGATGCGTAACCGTGGTTACCAACGTGCGAGGTACGACTTTTGTAATCATGAAAATCTGGTAGCCACACATATCTGTGGAAACCGCAAATAGCGCACCTACTTTCTACTACCACAGAGCACCTACTTACTCTACCGCAGCGCCATCCTAACTTACTCTATCTAACGCGCAGCGCCATCTACATCGTTATTGTGTTCCTGCCTTTTTCAGGATCCCTTACTTTCTCTACCACAGTGCCATCTATTTCCCCTACTGCAGCGCCACCTACTTCCCCTACTGCAGTGCCATCTACTTCCTCTACCACAGTGCCACCTACTTCCTCTACCGCAGCGCCACCTACTTCCTCATCGTGTAAATTAGAGAGAGATAAACTCAGCGTCATGGCGTTGGGTTTCGCGTCGCGGCCGATGATGCTGCCGGTGTCGACGCTCCGCCCCGCCGCCCGGCCAACAGACTGCGCCACCGTCTTCCTGCCGGCGGACTTGACGAGCGTTCCGTTGTTTGTTCCGGCGGCGGCCTGGTCCTCGCTGTACGTGCGGAATTGTTCGTCCCGCCTGAAACAATGGAGACAATAACGATGACAATACCGACGAAGATCATAACGATGATGATGATGATGATGAAAAATATGACGACGATGATAACGAAGATTATAACGATGATGATGATGATGATGATGGTGCGATGATGATGGTGACGATGATGATGAGGATGATGATGATAATGGTGACGATGATGATGATGATAATGACGACGATGTGACGACTTTTACCATTATACAAAGATACGGTGAAATGCCCTACTATAATTTTAACCCAGACTATCAATTCTTACCATGTCACAGTCAGTTCCTTCATTTAGTTACTTATTTGTACTCGCCTATTACTATTCAGTATTCTAATGACGTATCGATGTTAATAAGTATGTGAAAGTTAACTAGCTAATTAAATTAAAAAGTTAATTAATTAATTAACTAAAGTTAACTAGCTAGGCTGTTTGAGCTTACCTCATCAGAACCAGCTGGAAGTTTAGGTAATTGACTAACACATCTAGTCCATTGTTTTCCTCATTCAGAAATTCTTTTACCCACCTGTACAAAACAACACAAAACACACGTTTGCACAATGCACTATGGTCCAGGGAAAAAATATAATTTATTTTTCGGGGGCTACTTTTCAAGCTCGCGTGGCATGAAAATAGCACCTAAAGATTTGGTTGCATTGAACTCTAGTGCAAATTTCGGGGGCTCTTTTTGGCATTTCCGGGTCTTTTGGCATTTCGGGGGCTAAATCGCCCCGAGCCCCCGTGTATTTTTTTCACTGCTATGGTCTCAATGATCATTCCATACTTCACGATCGATCACAAACTGATCTATAATCTATGCACCGTCGATTAAATACGACGATAGATTATCGCAGTGAAATAATTTACGTGGTGAAATGTGAGTCTGCAGCGATTGCAAAAGTAGATGTAGCGTACGAGAGAAATGATTACGTGAAAATAATGGAGAAAAAATTCTTTTACGATCGTCTGCTATTCATGTCTGTGTCACTAGAAAAACTTCTAAGCAAGATAAAAAGTTTCATGCTAAGCAACGGTCCCAGGGACTAGACTAGACGATCACATAATTTCTAACTCAATTAATCAAGACACCACTACAATCAAACTTGTAAATAAGGTTCGCTCAAAGAAAAACCACAAAGTGTCCTTTATGGAGGTGTTTTTAACCTATGGCTGTCACTCCAGTGAAACTTCCCATTGTCCTTTATAGACAGGTGTCCGTCTATAGAGTTGAATTATATAGTGGAGATTTCAACCTGCTTTATAATTGTAACTCGAGTAAAACACCAAAAGTGTCCTTTATAGACAGGTGGTGACCGTTCTATAAAGGTGGATTCTCTGTATAACTGCCACTGAGGGAAATCAGTGTCAGAGAGGTGTCCGTTTCTATAGAGGTGTTTGCTATCACAGGAGGCTGCCCCGACACAGCTCACCCGGCACTCACTCGATGTGGTTGGTTCGTAAGGAGATCTCGAGGTCCCGTAGGACCTGCGTAGATTTGTAGTCTCCCAGTGTTCTCTTCGCCTGTCAAACAACAAGTGACAACAAACGTGTTAAATGCATTATTTATGCTAATATTATAAAATTATAATTATACTTAATTATATTTTATTAAATTTCTTTTAATTAAATTTTATTAAATTTTATACAATTATAATTAACTAGAAAGGGCAGTTGTCGCCAACTACCATGTATCCCCCGCCGTGTCATCCCTCAAGATGTGTAAGTATACGAAATTTGGTCGCGCTAAGGTCAATTAGGGGCCGAGTTAATAGAGCGGAAGGAAAATATGATCAAAGGTCAAGGTAAAGGTAAAATTTAAAGTCGTAGTGCCCTGGTTTTGATACGCAACACACCTTCTGCCTCAAGATGTGTAAGTTACCAAGTTTGGTAGCGCTAGGTGAATTAGGGCGAGTTTATAGAGCGAAGGAAAATATGATCAGCGTCAAGTAAAAGATAAATAAAAGGCCGTAAGTGATCCTGGTTTGTAGCTCTAAGGTCAATTAGAGGCCGAGTTAGAGAGCGAAGGGAATATGATAATCAGGTCAAGGTACAGGTCAAGATAAAGGTCGCAAGTGCCTGGTTTTTGGTAGCGCTGGGCTCACGATTCTCCCAAAATGTGTAAGTTATACGCAAGTTTGGTAGAGCTAAGTCCAATTAGGGCCAGAGTTAGAGAGCGGAAGGGAAATATGATCAAAGGTGAAGGTAAACGTCAAATAAAGGCGCAGTGACCTGGTTTTGGTAACGCTCTCACCTTTTCCCCAAGATGTTGTAAGTATAACCGCGTAAGTTTGGTAGGCTAAGTCAATTAGGGGTCGAGTTGATAGAGCGAAGGGAAATTCTCTGCGGCGAACCGGAGCGGCGGCGGTGGCGGCTGGACAGTACATGAAGGATCTTTTGCATCATTCCTTGATCATACGGAAAAGTCTGATCGCGGAAGTTGATATGCGGATATCCAAGCCCAATGGATAACGCGTAGGAAAAAAATTCGGGCGGCCGGGCCTGCCTGCAATCGTTGTACACGTGTAGGCGGTTTATTTCACATATTCAAGCGTGGATTCGCAGACCACTACGGGTGGTCGGATTCCCCGGACATGCGTGGAGGTTAAGCCTTCGAATGAGTAACAACAACAACAACAGTTAAGGGGATCTATGTATCACAGGGCACTTGGAGCGTTTCAAAATAAAATATAATGCGAATACATACGATACTATTACTACCAGTTTTCGTTTAGTGTTCCTCTACTCCCTTTCGGCCTATTATGCCGACGATTTCCTGTAAATGCCGTGCAAATGCTCCTCCTGAATCATGCATCATGACTGGGCTGCACGAATCAGTTATAGCGATCTTGTATGTACGTGCGCGCAATTAGCATGTTCTAGCATCTATGACACATAGTAAATACGCATATGATATACGCTCTCCTATGACACTATTTGTCATAGAAGATTCTTTCTATGAACAAATATTGCGAGTCAACTTCGTTCCGCTTCAAACAGCTGAATTCACTGCTTGCGTTATAATAGTGTCCTATAACGCGCACTCATAATAGCGCGGCCTAAACTCCTGATGATGCGCACACACAATACGAGCAATTATTTGTCATAGGAAGAATCTTCGCTATGACAAAAGTGTCATAGAGAGGCGTATATGCGTATGTCGTATTTGCTCCATAGATGGCTAGCAGAACATGCTGGGTGTATGATCCAGATCTACGTTGAGCGCGGCAGTGGGGAATGTAGGACGTATAGTAGGAGTATAATGATGGGGAGATAACACTGATAGTCAATGTGAGTGACGTCGAATGCAGCGCTTACC